GGTATTGGGAAAACTGGATAGCAGCATGTGAATCAAAGAAGTTAGGACACTTCCTCACACCAAACACAAAAATTAACTCAAAATAGCTTAAAGACTTAAATATAAGACAAGACACAATAAATCTCCTAGAAGAAAACATAGTCAAAATATTCTCTGACACAAATCTCAGCAATTTTCTCCTAGGGCAGTCTACACAGGCACTAGAAATAAAAGCAAAAATTAACAAATGGGACCCAATTAAACTTACAAGATTTTGCTTATAAAGGAAACCATAAGCAATACTTCTGCTTTTTTAAAATGAAATAAAATGAAGTTTTTAATTTAAAAAAAAAGATACTTTCTTATTTTGGACCAGATCACAACCAAGAAAGGGGACTTTCCCAGATAAGCCTCTAAGAAGGAAGACCTGACTAGATAAAAGCTGGGAGTGCTGGAGGTGGGGTAAAGGAGGTCTGAATCAAACACATGCTTCATTGGAGCCAATACAGTTCAAAAAATGCTAATGCAATCTTAATACATTAGTAGAATTCCTGTGTCAGAAGCAAGGGAGCTAATAATCCCATTTATATTCTGCAATAGTCAAACTATAACTGGAATATCCTGTTCAAAGTACCTCATTTTAAGCAGTCATTAACAGACTATGTGTCCAAAAGAGGGTGATTTGACTAATCTGGCAATCATGTCACATGAGAAATGGTTAAGGAACTAGGGATGCGTGGCCCTCAAAAGAGATGAGTTGGAAAGGGGAGCTGCTTTCATAAGACTCAAGGGCGGTCATGTGGAAGATGAAGACTTACTCTCTATTGCTTCAGAAGAGGCAGAAACAGAAAGTGACTGGGATGCACGGCCCAACAAAGAACTTCATAATAATGCAGATAGAATTCCTGGATGTATTTACTTTCAAAAGAGAGTCTTGGGATCCAATTACAAACACTGTTTCAAGAGGTCTAGGATATACCCTGGAATCTGCATCTAAAACAGGCTCTCTGGGTGACTCTGGGTAGTCCTTTTTTTAAACATAATAATCTTTATAAAAGGTTTATTATAGTATAATACACCCACCATAAAATTCACTAAGTTAGAGTATACAGTCCACGCTTGTTTCGGCAATACACGTACTTTTTTAAAAAGTATACAATCTAATGGCTTTTAGCATATTCAAAGAGTTGTACAATTATTACCATAAATTTAGAACACTTTCAGCACCTCCAAAAGAAATTCTGTATCTATTAGCAGTCACTCCCCATTTTCCCCGAAATCTCTCAGCCCTAGGCAAACACTAATCTACTATCTCTACAGATTTAACTATTGTTTACATTTAATAGAAATGGAATTATACTCTAAGAGGTATTTTGTGCCTGCCCTCTCACTTAACATGATGTTTAAAATTTATCTATGTTGTAGCATGCATCAGTGGTTTATGCCTTTTTATTGCTTAATAATATACCATTTTATGGGCATACCATAACTCATTTATCCATTCATTAGCTAGATAGATATGAGTTATTTTCACTTTTTGGCTATTATGAACAATACTGCTGTGAACATTCAAGAACAAGTTTTTGTATGGACGTAAGGGGTGAAAACCTAAGAATGAAACTGCAGGGTCACGTGGTAATTCTTCTGACCCTCTGGAGAAACTGTTAAGCTGTTTTCCAAAAGTGGCTGCACATTTTACATTCCTACCAGTAATGTATGAAGATTTCAATTTTTCCACATTATGCTAACACTTGTTATCTGTCTTTTGATTAGAGCCATTCAGGGGAGTGTGAAGTGGTGACTCCTGTGGTTTTGATTTGTGTTTCCCTGAAGGCTAATGATGTTGAGCATCTTTTCATGGGCTAATTGGTCATTTGTGTATCTTCTTTGGAAAAACAGTCCATTTTGAGAAACAATGATTTTGCCAAACCAATAAGGACAATAACTTCAATGGACAGAACTACACATCAAATACATTTACCTCCACAAGCTTAAAATGATATTACAAAGCAAAAAAAGTGAAGGATGTTGGCAAACCAACTCTATTTTGAAAATTAGTTAATATAGGGCAAGATTCAATCATTTATCCTGCCTTTCTCCTATGAACTGTCCACCTAGGTAAGCAACAGTTGATGAAAGAAAAATTCTCTTTATAGAAAAATTCCAGCTAATAAATGAAAGGCAGACTATCATTATTTTGCAATCTCAGTGTAACTAGGTCTAGGCATTGAGCATTAGCAGCTGCAAACATCACACAAAAAGCAGCAGACATTATGTGCCTACTGAAAAATATACACCACCACCCATGAAGCAGTCTTACCAAAAAATAGAGGGAAAATGAATATACAGGAAATAGGACAGAAAAAACATGTTAAACTATTCCAAGTGGGTACAATAAGCATCACCTACACGGTGGGAAACACAACAGGACAATGTATCAACTTTCTTCTACAAATAAATTGTAAGGCAGGAAAAAAAAAAGAACATGTAGTTTAAAAAACAATCAGCCAATCTCAATGTGTGCGTCTTATTTATATCCTGATTCAATTAACCTGTTGAAAATATTAGCACAGTTATAGGACAATTGGAAATTTGAACACTGCCTGCATATTTAATTAGAGAATTATTGTTATTTAAAGATATGAAATATTATTATGGTTTTTGTAATGAGTCCTTATCTTTCAGATACATATTGAAATACATATGGATAAAATGATAGGATGTCACAGATTTACTTCAAAATAATATGGGAATAATATGGGAAAGAGAGAAATAGGTGGTAATACAGCTGAAACAAGATTGGCCATGAGTTGAAAATTGTTGAAGTTGCTAATGAGCAACTAAGGATTTGTTATGCAATTCTGTCTACTTTAATATTTTTGCGATTTTCCAAATTTTTTTTATAAGAAAAGAGTCTTTTTTTTTTTTTTTAAAAAAAGCTTATCAAAACCAAAAGCTTAAGAGGTTGTTAGGGTCCCATCACTGGCCATAATCAAGAAGAAACTGGATGGCCCTTTATTATAGTTCTTGTAATGTAAATGACACACAGGCATTTCTTCTTCAAATGCTAGGATTCTACTAAAATAAGCAGTCTTAAAGAAATCTGGCTAAATCACCTCAATTCGCCACTTAATTTGGCTAACAGAAACTTATTCTTGGGACTCTCAAAACGGTTTACCAACAACTATGATTAACCCTATTTCCTCAGTATATAAATATATCTGCTTAAATGCTTACCTTTAAGGAACACAACAGAAGAAAGAAATTAATCAAATGAGAATATACATTTAAAGAAAAATTTTTAAGCATCAAATACAGTTCTAAGATACAAGTATTGTTAGCATGTGCAACATGTTTATCATCAAACAATATATTTTGTGAGACAAGGGCCTGATAGGTTTTCTGGAACTGATAACTAATATCTGTTGCCTTAAAACAGATGCACAAATATACCATCTTATTGAGCAGATAGATTATAGTTAACTGCCCCTTCCCAAAAAATGCTATTTTACCAATCTATGTTGAGCCAAAAAGATTTAATGTGGGATAGAGTGAAAACAGAAACAAACCAAACAGAAACTGAAGAGCATGCCAATTCATCTAATGAGTACCAAAGAGTCACTGGATTATTTTCAAGAGAAGAAAGAGTATATGCAGAAGATATTAATTTTAGTGGTTAGGAGATGAGGCAAGAGAAATAATAGGTATAATACAGTATCTACAGCATATTTATTAATTTAACCAAGCCCCTCACCTTCATTATTAACAGTATTCAATATCAACATTTTTACCTTCTTATTAGTGTACTCGTCTGTTTTTGCATTCTGAACTATATTTTTAAAGTTTATACTAAAGTTCATAGAACTGCTTAGAAGAATCTCCTATTGGTAAAATGCAAAAGTACCAAAATGCTTAGAAGCACGTGAAACAACAGGAATTCTTATACACTTCTTGTGGAAATATAAATTGGTACAAACAGCTTAGAAAACAATTGGCATTGTCCAGTTAAAATGAAAATGCATTGTCTTAGTTCCCCGTGGCTGCTGTAACAAATCGCCATACACTTAGTGGCTTAAAACAACAGAGATTTCTTTTCTCACAGTTCTGGAGGCCAGAGTCTAAAATGAGCCTCCCTGGGCCAAATTCAAGGTGCTGGCAGGGCCGCACTGCCTCTGGAGGCTCTAGGAGACAATTCATTTCTTGGCTCTTCCACTTTTTGGTGGCTGCTGGTACTCCTGGGCTGTAGGCACATCACTTCGGTCTCTGCCTCTGTGATCACACAGCCTTCTCCTCTTATATTCCGTGTAATCTCCCTCTGCCTCTCCTCTATTAAGGACACTTGTGATTGCATTTAGGGCCCACCTGATAATCTAAGATAATCTCCCTAGCTCAAGATCCTTAACTTAATCACATCTGCAAAGATCCTCTTTCCATATAAGGTAACATTCACAGGTTCTAGGGATCAGGAACAGTATCTCTGGAAGCCCTCCTTCAGCCTACTCCATGCATACAGCCTACACTATAGCAATTCATCCCTAGGTAACTCCCTGCAGAAACGCCTGCACATGAACACCAGATGACAAGCACAAGAATATTCACAGCAGCATCGTTTATAATAACAACAAAACTGGAAACAACTCAAACATCCATCAACAGAATGGATACTCTGTGATGTAGTCATATAATTACAGAGCAGTGAAAATAAAAAAGTACTGCTACACACATCGACATGGAAGAATCATATAACACACATGGAGTGGGAAAAAAAACCAAGTCACAAAAAAATATATATGGCATACTACATTTATACAGTAAGGTCTTCAAACACACAAAACTGAACTCTGTAATGTTTAGAGCTGTGTGCAAAATACGATAAAACAATGAAGAAAAGCAAAGAAAAATAAACAAAATTCAGGATAGTGGTTTCCTATGTGGGAGAGAGGGACAGTTGGATGGAAGAGCATGCAGAGAGCTTTAAAGGTATTGGTAAGGGCCCATTTCTTAACTGGGTTGTGGAGTAACAGTATATATATATATTTTTTAATTTATATATTCAGAAGTTCTACCCCAAATGTATATACCTTACATATATACCTTTGAATTTATAATGTATTTAATAATAATAAATGTAATTCCTACTGATTATTCTAGCCCTGAAAAGTGGATTAAGATCATTCTCCCCACTACTGATAAGCACTTAGTTGTTTCTCTACAGACCCCATCATTGTATAATCAAAGTTTTCCCAGTATAAGGTGTGAACAGCCCAAGCGCTTCACATTTTTAGGATGAGTGTGAGCTGATGGCACGAGCTAAGCTTTGGATGATGCTGTGGTTGGCTCTGTCTCCTGAAGGAGCTGCTGGTTGTCTAGGGAGACTAACGCCTGGGGCAGAGACTCCTAATGCCTCCCAGGGGACATTTGGCAATGCCTAGAAATATTTTTGGTTGTCATAACACAAATAGAAGGTGCTACTGGCATCTAGTGGGTAGAGGCCAGGGACGCTGCTTAACATCCTACAACGTAAGAGAAGCCCCCACCACAGGGAATCACCTGGCCAAGGTTGGCAACTCCTGCTTTTTAGTAACCACTTGATTGAGTGCACACAATAAGCCTACCTAACTACTGCCACCTGACGTTAAGTGTGATGAAGCAACCTCCCATTGTAGACCTAGAAAGTTCCGGTCTGCAAAATTTGCCAGTCCTCAGAATTGTGCACAAGAGAGATTCTAATCATATACTCAATGAAAATACAAGGTTTATAGATAATTATTATTGCCAAAGGGATTCTGACAGACTGTAACCTCCTCAAGGGGGCAGACTTAAGATTCGTTCATCATTTTATCTTCTGCACTACAATCTTGGCATGTTTTAAATTGTTTCTCCTTAAATAAGGCACAGAGCACAGCACCTGGCATGTAGTAAGCACTCAGTAACATGAGTTAAAATTATTTTCAAGGGGGGTGTATAGCTCAAGTGGTAGAGCGCATGTTTAGCATGCATAAGGTCCTGGGTTCAATTCCCAGTACTTCCTTCAAAAATAACCTTAATTGCCTCCCCCTTGCCAAAATAAAATAATTAAATAATGCAATAATAAATAAAAAATAAAAACATTAAATTAAAAATTATTTTTTAAAATATCATTTTCAAAGTCAGTCACTATAGCTTACAGCTTTTTGTCTGGTTTTGTTCCCTAATGTATCCCAAGCACCAGAGAACCTGGCACATACCAGGGGCTCAATAAATATTTACTGAATGAGCAAATGCTCATAAAAATGCTACCTGACAGTGAACATGCATGACCCCAAAGAAAACAAAACAAAACAACAGAAAGCAAAAGACACAATGAGGCACCATTTGCAAACAGTCTCCCAGGTCAGCACTTCTAATGGGACTCCTGACCTCATCTTCCTCTAGTCAGCAAGAACAAAAAAGCTGAAATCAGTATCATCCGGACTCTGTCGCTTATAAGATCAAAGACCTGTGGCCTGTAATTGTTAGGCAAGGACACGAACAGGCACCCAGCGACTACTCACTAAAAATTACTGATGACCACGGCTGACCACTAAGTACCTCTAAGAAACACAAAAAGTGCTTCATCTTTTATGCCACTGCATCTTGCCCTTCTCACCAATTCCTACTCACAGCTGTGCCTGACTAATTAAAACTGCCCAAAAACCTCGTCTATCACTTTACTGGTTATTTCTTCTACTAAATCAAAAGATTCCACTTTAGAATTCAAGTCCATCTGTCTCCCTCAGTCTGCAAAGAACAAATGTTCAGAAAAACTAAGCAACTAGCTAAAATTAAATGTACCTTTTGTAGCTAAGACTTAATATGTTGTTGGGGGCAGGGAGGAAGGCATCTAAGGATAAACCACTAAAAAGAAGATAACACAAAGCTTAACCCTATTAGATACTTAGATATTCAACTCTTAGCAAATCAGAGACAAATCCAGAAACTCTTGGCTAAAACAGAATAATTATATAGGGCTATCAACCCCAAAGGTTTGCTCACCCATTTTCCTCTCATCTGGACATTAGAAAACCTAAATTGGCTCATAATCCATAGCTTCACTTTGATATCTGAAATACGGATGATTTATTGGTGAGCTACTGGCCCTGTCCCATGATCAGGAAAACACTAAAAAATCCACTTTTTATGACCTTTACCTGGAATCTGTAATTTCACATTTCTAACAGTTTTATAAATTATTACAGCAAAATACATAAAATTCTCGGTACAACTTTTACTATCATAACTTCTGAGTTACAAAGTCCTTGCCTAGAAATGATACACGATGATCACAAGAAAAAGACCTAGTGCATTACGGATTTCAACAGCCAGAAGTTGCTTCTGTGAGATTTTGGACGGATTAATTTTTACTGCCAAAGCCAAATATATCAAATTATATCATGTTATGCCTATGTTCTGAAATGTCACAAAATATCTAAAGTTCAATTTCTCTTTCCAACATTTTTTTAATCAAAGGGATCTTTTCTTTAGTAAGCAACGTAACAGACAACAAGATAAAGCATAAAAAATCTTACATGTTGGAAATTTATTTCAAAAACACTATAATTTACCACATCAATGTACATTTAACTTACTACACTCTGTACTACCCAGGGGTTACTGATAAAATGAAAAATAAGGCTCTTTCTTTTTTGTCAAAATCATATAACTGCAATTCTAGAATTTCACTACAACTCTTAAAACTACAGACAAAAATCACTTCCAAAGATGTCAATTTTTCTTATTGCATGGGAAATGTGTATACCAAATATGACAGAAAATAAGTTTCCACCAACTAGGCTTAAAAATATTTTTGTTACATAGATTTGCTGTAAATAGGTTCAACTAGCATGATATCCCAGAGCATATAGGTGATACTGACTAGTGATACTGACAGTCTCGCAAAACTATGCTTCACATTTTTTGATAATACTGCTATTTCAACAAATATTACTGAATTCTATTTATAGGTAAATAAGTAAATAGCTAAATAAA